AGGTTTATTTTGATTGTCTTGCTGTTTTTGTCTACATTCGGAAATACTATGTCCGTATCGTCGGCAATAATTACACCATTTTTTGAAAGATGGTTTGCCTTTGAAGTTTGGGTTCTTTTCATAAATATTGAGTATTTCAGTGATTTTTTCAACGAGGTCTGTCTCTGATTCCTGTATATTATTAATATTAGTGGGAGTCGTTTCAATTTTGTTAACGTATTGTAATTTCAGATTTTCCGTTTCTTCTAGTTTCATCGTGATTTCTGCTTGTTCTAATTTGTCTACTAGTTTTCGAAAATCTAAATCGGGTTCTCGAATTGAAGAAGGATGGGATGCTCTCTTTTTTATTGCTATTTTCCTTAATTGTGGTGTTAAGGTCATCATTAAGATTTCTGTCATCTTTGTGTTTTTATAGTCATGTGTATTTAGTGAGTATGCTTTTCGAACTAGTGTTTCGATTCGTACTGCTATTTGCTTGATGGTTTCGTTTGGTAATCTGCGAATTTCATTACATAAAACTCTTTGTTGTTGTTTGTTTCTTTCGGAGTCAAACATTTTTGAAAATTCTTGTGTAAATCGTTTCCAGTTTGATTTTATTTCTAGAGGTAGTACTGAAAACCATTTTTGGGCTGCGCCATCTAAGGTTGTTTGTATCAACGCTGTGCGTCGATGTATCCAGTTTTGATGTAGTGGCGTATTAATTGGTTCAGGTCCAATGTTTAAAATCAGGTTTGCTGTTACTGCATTTAAATAATCTTCTACAGAATATTCAGGGTCTGTTCCTGTGAAAACCATTAAAGGTTTGTTTGATGTTATTGATGATCCACCCATAAGGTATGGATTCATTGTCATTTGTAATGATTCTGCTGCATTTGGCATTTGAGAAAAATTTGAAAGTTGGTTTCTTGTTATTTCATGTTGTTGAAGATAATATGGGAGTGGTATTTCATTTTGCATTTGTGATGGTTGATACGAGTGTGCAGTCATTGGATTTTGTTGTTGGATTGGTTGAAAAGATTGTGTATTAATTGGGTTTTGTTGTTGAATTGGTTGTTGATGTTGTGCATCTATTGGTTGTGGAGAAAAATTCCTATGATTTGTACGTGTTTTCTGTATTCCTTGTCTACGATATTCTTGAGTATTTTGTGCAAATATATCTGGTTGTAAAAAATCATCATCTGAGGATAAATAATCCATTTGATAAGATGTTTGTTTTTTATTTTTATTTTGTTGAAAAAATGGGTAATTTTCACTATGATCCCGTGGAGGATTTGTTTGGAAATTTGTTGAATTAGGTTGGGTCATTGGGTTATCCCAATTTCGAGATCTTGTATATTGGTTAAAATTTCTTTGTGGTTGATTATATGTTTTTGATGGATGTGTATAATTATAATTATGGTCTGCAAAGTTGTTTCTAGTGAATGTTTTGCGTGTTTTTGATGGTATTGTCATGGGTCTGTATGTTTGGTAATCCATATGTGAATATTTAGGGGCAACCGAAGGTTTAACGGTTGATTGTAAGGTTACCTGTGTTTGTGAAGGATTTGTATTTCTTGGTGTTGTTAAATTTGGGCGTATTGGTGAAATACTTTGTTGTGTAGTTGTTGTGTGTACAATTTCTTCATTTATGAAGTGTGATGGTGTCTGTATATCTTGTTGAGTAAGATTCCTAGTTCCATTGAGGTTTTCATTGTGTATAACTGTAGAGTTTAAACTATTATTTTGTGTATCGGGTAAAAATGTATTATAGTTTAATGGTGTTGCATCAATTGTTAATGGTATTACTCTTACATAGTCTCTTATGTAAGATATCGTACTTATTGCTTGACTTGAGATTGATTGTGGGAAGCTTATAAATGCGGGATGAGACCATTCGGGGTCCCAAACATAATCTGATTGATCTGTGATAGCGGTATCATCGTTCGAATTTTGGGGTCTAAAATTTTTTCTTGCTTGTGCAATTAAATCAATATTATGTGTGAAATAATCTATTATGAACCATGCCAAGATTTTTTGTAAATCGTGTTTTGTATGTTGTGAAACGTCGTCTTTCGTGAAATTTTCTTTAATGATGTTTAAATAACTAGAGAGTAGTGTGATTTCATGTCGTACTCTTAAATGTTTAGATGTTTCTGTCGGTGAGACATTTGTTAATGGGAGTTCATTTTCTAATATCGAAATATAACTATATATTATTGCGAAAACTTCATTGGTGAAAATGGAGTTTGCTCTTTGTGAGTTATGGTATTGGATGCTTTTTATATATTCTGAAAAAACTTTTGAAAATTCTAAATCAAGATCGTCTGTTTGAATAGTATATGTTCTATTATTATGGTTTGGGGAAGTGAATTCTATAGAGTAGATTCCATACTGTTGTGTTATGTTGCATATATCTTTTAGATAGTGATCTATGATTTGTCTTTTGATTTTTACATCGGGGAACTCTGTTTTACATGGACTAATTCCGGGTTCAAATAAATTTACGAGTAAATTTTGACAAAATATGTGTTGTCCTCTATCGGTATCTGCATCTATTATAAAAGGAAAGATTTCATCATCATCTGGAGTTTCTTCACCTGGAGTGTGCGTTGAGCTCATTTTTTCGTTCGATGACTGTTAATATGTAATTATTAATGTGTCGAATTGGTTGATTCCAATTGTATAGATGTACTGGTTTGTGTTTGTACTGTTTTTTTATTCTTCTTTTTCCTCTTTGTGATGAATTTGAAGTTGTTTCTGAGTCAGAAAAATATAATTGATCGTGAAGTGGGTAATTTTTATCTATTGATTCTTTTAGTTTGTAAAGTTCGTCTAAACTGTTGGTTTCTGATTCTGAAAATGCGTTTCGATTTTTTGAAAATCTTTTTCGTGTTATTTGTCTTTGTTTAGTTATTATTTTCCTCTTTAGTGTTTGTCGTTTTGTTCGAATGTATCCAACTGTTTGTGTATGAGGTGTGATTACAAGGTCGTATTTTTTGTTATCTATTTCACAATTGTGTAAAACGATTGTTTGTTTATTTCCTAGGTTTTTAAATGACATAAGGTTTAGAATGACGGATGCAAAGGGTTGTTAAATGATTTCTATTTTCCTAAACTGTTAGTTCTTACGATTTTTTGGTTAGCTTAACCTGGGTCTATTTGTTCAGGGTTGGAGAGAAAAGTATATCGATTCCGAAGAATGATTTTTACTTTCTCGTGACTAGTATAAGCTAAGGTGTTAACTTACTTAATCTTACTTAGGGGTAGTGATTGTGTTCAAGGGTTGGAGAATAGTAAATCGATCCACAAGGTTCAGGTATAATTAGAACGCGAGTAGTTCGTTAGATACTATTTTAAACTTACTAAGTCTAAGATTTATCCTGGGTCTGGTAAGAGGGGGGGTCAAGTGAAGGATGAATAACCGAAGTTCTTCACTATTTATCCTAATTTGAATGATTAGTTTTGTTTAAAAATTTCTATTAGTCTTGGGTCTTTAGAAAGGGTTGGGTAGTGAATCGACGTTTGAGGTCGTTAGACACTAATTAAGTGGGTGGGGGAGAACAAAGTTGTTCTGTTTGATCCAAGGATAAGCCTTGATGATCAAGTTTGAAATTTAATTAAGTAGAGAATGATTTAAGATCCAAGGATAAGCCTTGATGATCTGATTTTAAATTAAGTGACTTTAAGTTTTTATAAAGTTTTAAATTTGTGTAAAGGAAAGATTTAGTGTTTTATGATGTTAGTGAGTTGATGATTGCTGTTATGTTTTAGGTGATGAAGCTGGAACAACAGGATGATTTATGATTACTAACCATTTATTGTCATGCTACTAATTTTTATTTTTATTTTCCAATAAATATTTTTCAAACATGTTTTGTATAATACTGCAGAGTTTTAGGAAAACGATCTTAGATCTTTTTATCAATCGTTATTGTATAATATTAATTTTGTTTAGCGCCTGTAATGATTTTGAAGAGTAACTTCAAGGTTTTATGTTTGCAAATGGAAATCTAAATTCATTGCAAGTAGTATTCGAAATATAAAAGTTTGTTCTGGCTTTTGCCGAACTATCATATAACTATACGGCAAGTTTCTACTTTGTCGTATGTCGTCTTTGGTTCGAGGTCTTCTTCCAATTCCGGGTAGTTCTGTTATGGTTCGGAATATTGGCTCTGATCTATTGAGTCGGAGAGACATTTCAATTAAATTATTGTCGTATAACATTTTGTAAATGTTTTTGTCTAATTTCTAATCTATTTTTGGTTAATTCTAATCTAGTAAGGTCTTGTTCGAGACTTATGGTCGCACCAGATGAGTTAGGACCGAAGTGTAACTCATAGAGTAATTTCGGATAGGGTACACCGTCTGCTCGTCACGCTATCTTATTTTCGGCCGGATAGATTCGTGCAACTTCTTAGTCTAATACCGATCCTAATCTTACTCTTATACTATCTAGTCTCAGGTTGTTTAACTAGTCTCTGCTAGGCTCAATAGATCTACGGTATACTGGTTTACTGCGGCTGCTGAAGTGCTCGGGAGAGTCCAACTAATTTCTAAGTTAAATTCAAATCTCTCTGGTGCTGAAATTACAAGTAACTTCAGCACTTACAAATAAGTGGGTTGTTAGTTAGATGGATCATGATTGGTTAATATTAAATACTTTACATTGGTAAAACATTTAATTTATCCAATCATAAAATATAGTTTAGATCAGGTTCCATTTTGTTCGATTTGTCCGGATAATTTAAATCAGCACTGTAGTAATATGTACAAATCGAATCGATGCAGTTCTAATGCCGCAATCTGATGGCTGGAAGAATTGAAATTTTCAACGCGTCTAAGCGAAATTTCAGTTCAATCCAATTCTAAAATTCAATGAAATATTAAGCTTTGCGCTCGATAGTCCCTTGTGCCTTTGCTTAAATCTTGTCATTGGTTTAACATATGAGATTGATTCCAAGAAAGTTAGGGATAAATTGAGTCCAAACTCAATAATTTACAATGTCATGTAATTGTTCCAGGTTATTTGCGCATCAGATCCGGCCTCCGGTATCTCGTCGCAGCATCGCGGATTGTCTTTGAACCATGGGGAGGTCCTATACATTAAAGACTCAGTATATCAAGGCGAAGTTGGAGTATGGCACGCAGCTAGGGTCGACCAGCGAAAAATGGAACTGCAGGAAGATTCTGGACTCGTACCCAGCATGTATTACAAATACTTGCCTATTTTGAAATCCTCGAGTATATATAAAGAACAGTCAAATCAGAAAGCAGACAGAACTTCAAGTTTGGATGTCATAAGCGAAGATAACAGGAGTTCGAGTCTTGGTCCGGGCGCAAATACTGTCAGGAGTTTTCGCAAATTATTTCTCAAGAGGTTTGCATCAAGTTCTTCATTTACGTGTTTGCCAACATCAACAAAGGCGGCTGAATCGTCTAACACTGATATTGGGATCAGCCATACTGACCATGGTGATATATATGAATTCCAAAGAGTCAAATATTTTGACGAAGATTTTCGACGACCAATTGTGTTCGTGGGTCTCTTTTGCGATCAGCTGGCAAAATTCTTTGTCGTAAATTACCCGAAGCGATTTAAGTATTTCGAATTTTCGGCAGGGCACGGAAAAAATTGCGAACTGAAATGTGATGCGTTCTGTAAGTTGACGGCTATGGGTACCTCTAGTAGCGATGTGACTGTGGAACAAAATAGAAAAAATGACCTTGCATCAATTTGCAGGCGACTTGACAAGGGCACTAATTTAGTTCTCTATGCCGATGTAACTCAATTGGAGATTATGGGAACTAACAATCTACAGCCGCTCGTGTTTTGTTTTGACCCAATGAAAAATCATAAAGCTGTGAAGGATTTGTATTTTTTGCTCCATAATGGAGGAAATTTGAGCACAAAGAAAACAAAACGACTCATCGCCGACTGTCAATTGATTGAGTTGAGTTTGAAAAAGATGAATATTTTCTACTGCAAATTGACAGGAACTTTAAATGAAGTAGAGGGAAAGGTTGTAAAGCAGTCGGAGCAGTTTTCGAATTTTAATTTGTTCGTTGCAGATGACACCAATCGAGAAGTTGGCGAGCAAATAAGAAAACAAATGGATGAACTTGTTAATAGAAATTAACTTAAATGAAGTCAGACTTTGATTCAAATGTAGAAAAAAATTATGCCAAAATTAATTGTAAACAATCAGTTGTAAATATGTAAATTAGATGAATCGCTGGTCGAAAAGTATGCTATTTTTTGAATTTAGCTTATCGAATTTCAATCAACGAAAAAAGAAGAATTGCATTACTTAAGAGAAGTTCTATATTTAGCTCATTTTGCAGACTGGATCTAACTCTTTGTGTGAAACAACGGGAAATTGTGAAGATGGAAATTTCCAACCACTCAGATTGCAAAACGTTAACAGTCCTACAAAAGAGTAGAACGTCAATCTAGGGATACTTTATCTGGATATACCGGAAGTAATTTAGATAACTTGGTAAACGCTCGGCTATATAGGCGGAAGAAAGAGCAGCCGTAGCTGAGTGGGTAAGACGCGCGGCCGTTAACGCAAAGGTCGTTGGTTTGATTCCCGCTTGGGTCACTGACTTCTTGCTTAAATCCGCCCTAAATTTTTACCCTTCCGATAAACAAGGGTGTTGCAATCGGGTAATTGACTTTTCTTCCCGTAAATAACTTTTTTCGAATGTCTGCTTTGAATGCCTGCCTGTCTTATTCGAAATTTGAAAGTTTTTATGGTTTTTGTCGGTCAGGTTGTCAAGATGTGTATGTGTGGTATCAGAAGTGATGCGAAGCTTTTCTTTGTCTCTGTGTTCTTCTTCAACTTCGCCTAATATATTTTTTGCCTTTTATTTTTAGCCTAGTATGTACATGTACAGCCCCCTTGTCAATATCAAAGCGCATGTGATTTCAAAAAACATTGCTTCCCACTATGGAAAAGAAAAGGGTAATTTGCATCAGTTCAGGACTGGAAAATGAAAACTTCAACGTTAAATTGGACGAAGTGAAGTTTAATTTATATAAGTCATGATGTTGCGTAAATCAGGAAAAGTCTTAATAAATTAGGAAAAGTCTTGAAATCCGTTTAGGGGGAGGATGATAACTTTGTTCTGAATTCGATTTTTCAGCCAATCAGAATAGAGCATTTTACAATCAGCGCTATGTAGATTTAAATTGAAATGAACGCTGGGGGTGGATGATGTTAACTTGGTCTATTGGGGGGGGGGGGGTTGAGAATGTTATCCAATAATTGTTCCAATAACGTTCCAAAATAACACAAAAAATATGTGTCACAAGGTTTAAATAGCGGATTTCAATTAGCGCTTCCAGCCGGAAAAAGTTTCAACCAGTTTTTTTTTCTATTGGCAAATTGAGTGAATTTCATCAAAAAAAGTTATAAAATTGAAAAAGCTTTACTGTGGATTATTTCTTTCAGCAAAATTCAATTGAAAAATGAGAAAAAATTATGCTTCTGTTTTCTCTGGCTTTTTTCTTCTATTGGCCTACTGGAACTATCCTAGCCATTTGCAATTTTTATCAAATCAGTCGACCCCCTGCCGACCCTTTGATACTTTTCAGAAATACATTTTTGGCCGACCGACCCTAAAATTTTTCTAAAGGCGCCTTTGGCGCCAATAAATACTAACTTTGAGGGGGAGCGCGCGCCAAAAAAAAACGCGATTTTTTTGTCAAAATTTTTCAGAATGTGCCCAAAAACGCCTTTTTCGCCAAAATAGGGGCAAAACAGTGCTCAGTGCTTTGGGAGAGCTCGAAAAATCAATTTGGTCGACCTAAAAAAAAAAGGTCGTCAAAATTTTGGAAAATTTTTTTAAAATCCGCCCCCCCCCCCCCTCGAGAAAATCCTAGATCCGCCCCTGATATACTGTTTTCAATTTCAAAATAATGACGACTATAAAAATTCAAGTGCTTTTTAAAGGCGGTGATGAAACATTGTCTTTTGATTTTTGTTTGTAAAGAGTCAATAAACGTAGTGAAGATTCTTATAAAATCCGTGAAGATTTTTTTCACGCTTAAGTTTTTTAGTTTTTTTTCGAATGCAAAGTCCACTATCGAGCAGTAAAAATGCGAAGCCCATTATCGAGCAGGAAAAGTTACGAAGATCAAAACGTTAAGTTTCGAAAAAGGATAGTAATTTTCTGCTTTCCAAGCACTATAAAAAATCCCTATAGATCCTGTTTTCTCAAACCTGACTACTTTTGACTGAAAAAAGTCTATCATAAATTTTTCTTGGATTTCAATTTATTTTAAAAGAACGTCTTTCTTCTTAGAAATTCGAAAAATTCTTGTGTTCATTGACTCCTAGACAAATGCTGAAACAGAACCTTAAAAAATACCCATGTTCGGAAAGTTTGATCATTTCCTAAATAAAGCAACTTTTTTCGATTTGAAAAAAAATAAATTCATCATTGTTTTTTTAAGGGTTCACTGTTCCGATCACGTCATTGAGAGTGATTGCAAGAATTATGAAGTAGGTTGTTTTTTGGTTCCTTGAACAAATTTATCTTAATTTAATCAAAAAACGGATTTTTGTTTTCAGAAAAAGATAGTTACTCACTTTTCTATTTTTGTTTTTTTCTAAAGTTTTGATTTTTTTAATGAAGAAAATTTGTTACAAGATTTTTTTCAGCAAGATTGTACAACAGCGTAAGCTCAGATGAAACAAATTGAAGACAACTTGATCAATTATTTGCAAATTGATCAGCTGTTTCCTAATTCTTTCCAGAATTTTTTTTAAGTGATAAACTAATTGTATTGCAATTCCCATTATATATTTTTGCTAGCTTTATTTATTTTTTTATAAAATGTATTTTTTACAACAAGAGTGGGACACTACTTATTGCTCCGGTCAAAATTAGCTGACGACGATAATTGACTGAGTTGAATTCTTTTAGTACAAAAAAGGAAGGAAGAGCAAAAAAACATGAAATGAAGCCGATGTTTTGAGAATTTGATTTTTTTTTCAGGAAACAGGTGTGAAAACGACACTGTCCACTGATAGTTGTTTATTCTAATCGATCGATTAGAAACAATAACAAAGAAATTAGAATATTATTAGAATATAATCTTTCATTACCAAAAATTGCGTGAGGGACCCTGCTTGCTGATTGGTGTCATAGTTCCTCGCAACTTCATCTTATTCGGTTTCAGATTTCGAAATGATTGCAAATAATCTCAAACATACACTCAAAAAACATATGACACTCATTTTCGCTTTGTGTTGAAAGCTGTTTTTGATCTCAAAAATGGGCCCACCAACCTATGTGTATTTAACTAGGCATCAACAACTAAAATTTCAGACAATTCCGCTCTAAAATAACATCGAAAAATGTTGCGATTGGGCAGAAAAATCATTATTGATCCAAAACTCATATAAAAAACACGTTTAATTCTGTCACCTTATTTTACTGTTGGGACGACGTTGTTGAAAGCGACTAGAAGGAACGGTGATAGGTTGTTTTTCCCATTTTAGTTATTAAAAGTATAGCTCTTAGGGGTCAAGTGTGACAACATACTACAACCAAAACAGTCATCCTACTAGCCGGAATTTTTAATTTTTGCCCTGCCGCACTAGAGTTTTCTAAGCCTTTTCACACGATGATTACTAAGTATATGAAGCTAAATTTTTAATCTTTTCTTTCAAAGATTTTCAATGATATCATAATGGCAGTGCATAAAATCAGATGGACAGGTGAAACGACTTAGAACTAATTTGATCAAATATTTACAAAGAGGTCAATTGTTTCTTGATCTTTTTCCGGAGATTTCGTTTTTAATGACACTCAGTAAAATTTTATGATCGAGCTATCAGTATTCGCAATCAATATCCAAAATTTAGTGGTGACGATTTTTTGCCATTTCAAAAAATTCTCGTTTCTTTACTCTAAAAAACTGTTTTTGTATTTTTAATTAGTTGGTTAGCAAAATTTCCAAAAAAAATTTCCAAATTCTGTGGTCCACCATTGTCAAATTCTCTTAAAAAGGAATATGAAAATATGAAAACTCATTTCATCTTGAGTGTGTTCATTTTTGGCAACATCAATGGTACTATTCACCCTGAAAACAGACTAAGATCTCCCAACACCAATGGTAGCCTTCACCCTGAAAACAGACTAAGATCTGAATTACTGTCAAACTATGACGCATTAAATCGTCCTGTTCGGAATATGTCAACTGTTACCATAGTGAAGTACGTGTCTTCTCTTTATCAACTTGTTGGCTTTGACTCAAAAGAACAGTCCATCGAACTGCTGACTTTTCAGCGACTGCGTTGGTGCGATGAGTTCCTGAAATGGGATCCAGCGAATCATTCTGGAATCGAGCTGTCACGGTTCTACCAACATCAGCTGTGGGTTCCTGACGTTCTTCCGTATAACGACATTGGTGATTATGATTTCGACGAGTTCTCTCTTATTGTGCCTCTGATTGTGTACTCCTCCGGTCACGTGGTATGGTCTCAGCCTGTCAACATGAAAACTACTTGCTCGATGGATGTGACGAACTTTCCATTTGATTCCCAAACTTGTGAAATCACGATTGGATCATGGCAGTACTCATCGGCTGAGCTGAGAATGTCTTGCGATGATGAGCTGGATTTGAATGCCTACATACCTGACAGTCTATGGGACTTACAAGGTGTCTCATTATTTCAGTTTTTCATCATAAATAGTTGCAAAAGTTGGAACTGACAAAATTATTTACAAAGAGCAAGTGACCTATTTCAGACAATCTCTGCAAGCAAAAGCTACTTCTTTAGAAGAAAAGCTATTTCTTTAGAAAATCAGCTAAAAAATAATCAAATTTGCATTCGAAAATTGCTTAGAATTGGCAGATTGCTCTTATTAATTTTTTGTGTCTGTTCCATTTTTTGAAGAAAGTGAAGAATATATAAGCCTGATTATAATTCAGACCGATGTTACAAAAGTTGACCGCGTTTGAGTGTCGATCCGGAAGTCTTTGTATTGCCATGCTAGTCGCTTGCATTAGTCTACTCGCATGCGGATGGCTTCGCTGCTCGAGTAATAATTTGATAGTTTCAATACACAAATTGCCCTTGCGTCGCAAAAACTTTTTTGAACAAAAACTATCGAGACCAATTGAGGGGAAGTCGAAACATTCCGGGCTTTTCGCTGATATTAAACAGTTTTGTTCTTCCGACTTTTGAAGAAAGTGACAGATTGCTTGTGTTTGGGGTGTTTTTCTTATCCAGTCAAAATTTAACTTTTCAAATAGCATTTTTTGAGGAAATTTTTTTATCATTCGAAAGATAAAACTGAAAAAGGTATTTCACCTGTGATGATTTTTCTTGAAGCTATGGGGTTTAGATATTGCTAACTTGGCCAATTTGGGACAATTAACGCACCGTGTATTTCGCTAGCCATATAGCCATATACATCGTTCCAAATTGGACTGAGACATGCTATTTAAAACTTTTCTAGAGGCGAAATAGAATTTTTCAACTAAACATAGCGTGTGGGGGTGATGATTTTCAAAAAAAAGAACTCAAAAAGATTTTTTCAGTTTTATCTTTTTTTTCTTCGGAAACTTCATCTTTTTATTTAACAGAAGACTGCTCGTATATCAGGGCAAAGGCCTAAATGTTCCGACTGGCCCTTAATTCATATCGAATTGTTATTGGGAAAACTGTTAATGAAAATTTTCAAATTTTTAATAATATCAAAGTGTGAAATGTTGAGTCCTACAAAGTTAATACGACCGATTAGCTAGCCTCAATTCAATTTGGAACGATTATGTTGTGCGGGATTTTTTCTTCACACATAAATAATTCGCGTTCCGCTCTCAGCATTATGTATAAATTTTTCAAACCGCGCATAATTTAGTCCAAAACATGGCCAGTTTGGCATTTTCAAACCCCCAAAACTTTGCAAAAATTAATCGGAGGTAAAATATCTTTTCAAATTTGAACTCAGTAAGTCGATATCTTCAATACGTTATAAAAATTTTATAAAAATAGGTTAAAAACGATTATTTTGATAATCGGCCGAATAAAAAAACCACACCGAGCATAAATATTCCGTTTTCTTCGTCGGAACGATAAAGACTACTTCGTAAACTCAGAGGGCAGATAGAAGCAGTCTCTTTATACTTTATTATTAGAGCATGTACAAAAAGGTCCCATAAACAACAGTCAACAATTTTTTTTCCAATTTATTCACCCCTACACGCTGATTTATCTGAGATAACTAATTTAGTGTCCTAATATTACGGCCAAATGACTTGCTTAATTGTTCCGACTTTCGATACGAAAGTAACGGAATATTTGTGCTCGGGGTGGGTTTTTTTTTCTTCAGACAAATTTCGAATTTTTAACTAGCCATTTTTGACGGAATTTTTTTAATATCATTCGAAAGCCATTGTTGTCCTGAGCTTAAATTTGAAAAGATATTTTACCTGTAATCATTTTGCGTAAAATTATGAGGGTTTAAAGATTGCCATTTTGGCCATTTTGACCAATTTGGGACAATTAACGCGCGATATAATTCGCGCTATTAACGCGTAAACGGAGATTTAATCCGTCTTATAAATCGTTCCAAATTGGTTGAACGAAGCTTATTTGCCATAATTGATTTGTTGCAAGGAAGGAAATCTATCTTTTTGTACTTTATATGGCGTGTGGGGGGATGATTTTCATAAAAAAATTTCACATTTAAAAAAATTTTCATTTTATTTTATTTCCCTTAATTTTTTATGTTATTACTGCTGCTCCATAAACCTTAAAAGGCAGTCGGAACATTCAGAGCTTCGCCTTGATACGAGCAGTCTTGCTTCAATTTGGAACGCTTTATTCCTCCGATTAAGAGTGTTATAAGAACGAAATTTAGGGCGCGGTAATTATTCAAAATACAGCAAACTTAAAAGCGTTATCGCCTTGCAAAAAATGATCAAGGGTGAAATTGGGTTCCTATTTGAGCTCCGGAAAACAATATTTTTCAGATCGATTAAAAAAATAGTCAAAATTTTTTATTTATAAGTCAAAAAATGACTGAAGAAAAACACCTCCTCTTTCGCAACAATAAGTTTTGTAAATTTTCTAGTATGTTTTGCAACAATGCAATCAATATTTGGCAAAAATGATTAAAAAAATGTATTTTTGTGTTAATATAATTTGTCAATTATTTGCTTCAATTTTTATCCAAGATTTATTTTTAGAAGCTTCGTGTCGAGAGCGAAATATGACCTCATTAGACGGATCATTCAGTGATGCTGTGGTTACTGTGACTTTCAAACGGCTCCAAACTTACTTCGTGGTTAACTTAGTAATTCCCACTGTTTTACTTCTGGGAATTAGTTCACTCACTTTCTTCATCCCTGGAGAAATCGGGGAAAAACTGAGCTTTGGTGTGACGGTTACACTTTCGCTTTGTGTTAACTTGACCATTTTTACAGATTTCATTCCAATGACATCAAAAACATTTCCAAAGTTGTTCACATATATACTATCCAGCATTCTTTTGTCGTGCATATCATTGGTTTTGGCAACAGTTTCCGTTAATTTTGTCAAGATCAACAACAACAGCAAAGATGAAAGCCAAGTTGCAGCGTTCGAATCAACTTTCACAAATATGGCATTAAAAGAGCTTACAAATCGTGTTTGTTTGAATAAAACTAAGAAGAAGATAACAAATCGAAAATTTGATATAGTTATCGGTTTTATTTACATGCTGGGAGTGACCATGTACTCTGTCATCTTTTTCGCAACGATGAGTCATAATTGAATAACTTTTTGTTGCTGTTAACAAAATATATAAACACAAACAAATGTTTTGCGTCTGTGTTCATCTGAATATTGAAAGAAATCATAATTTTTTCTATTTTTTCTAGCTTCAATTTAGCTCTCAACGAATGGAAAATTTCATTTTTAATAAATTTTTGCGACAATTTTTTTTCGATCCACGGTGATTCTATTTGGTCAAATATCGGCGTTAATTACTGCTAATTTTAAGCGAGAGAGTTCCCCAAAAACGCAATCCTTTGGTCAAAACTTTCCAAAAGTTGGCCCACAGATGGCGCTCTTGGTCTGTTTTTTAATAAATAGGTAAACTAAGGTGTTTTATGAGAAAATCAGAAAAGAGAACTCAGTAAATCAATTTAATTGACCTCAAAAAAGATCGACAAAGCGTTTTTGAAAATCAATCCCAGACCCCTAGACCCCATTTGGGAGGCGATGATTCGTAACAACCTGTGATTCGTAACAGACGCAAAATGGTAGCAAAAGTAGCCGTTTTTATGGGCAAATACCACAAAAAAAAGATCAAACCACATAAAACCAGAAACAAAAAACACACTTTTTATGTGTGCCGTTTTTTCTGCGTGGTAGGATGAGTGCGAAGACAAAAGCTTTGAGAATTGCTAATTTTGCTAAAATAATTATGTTTGCTTAACAATCGTTAGAAAAAAACTAACTACTCAAAAAATATTTTAAAATGTTACAAAGTATCACAAAACAACAGGCATTCCCAATTTGGGTTCAGACCACGCAAACTTACTCAAAATGCTGAGATTACTTGTGCTGAGACTTTCATAAAATAATTAAATGAGAAAAAATTTGTTGCACTGGTGCTGATAGACTTATCAGAAGCATCTGAGACAGTCAACCAGTTAAAATATCTGATTCATAGTTTATGAAAGAACAGTGCTGATATAAACTATCTGGCTAAACAGATTTTTAGATTATTAGTTTTTTATTTACACTATCTCGGCAAAAAGACTCATGCAGTCATTTTTTCTCTAAGTGTCTGTTGAAAAACCGTTTTTTAGATAAAATATTATTAGTTTTATTTAGTAATTGAGCTAAAAAATGTGGCCTGTAAGTTTTGACATGAAATTCTTCCACGTTTTTGTGCGCTTTTGCGGGATTTAATCAGTTAGTTCAGAAACATGGTTGAACGCAACGCGTTGAGTTTAGAAACGAAGTTTAAAATTGTTGGCTTACAACAACAAGGTTGGACCTTTGGAAAAGTAGCCAGTACGCTGAAAGTAAACCGACAAACTGCTGAAAGTAAAATTTAGGTCTGTATGAGTCTTTTTGGCGATAAACTGTACATATAATAGATAATTTAGACAAAACAATTTATTTCAACTTGAAGTTTGAAACGCATTTTTCTCGATTTGGGTTGAAATTAAGTGCGAAGTGATAGGACAAAACTTGCTTGGAATTTTAGCAAAATAAATAAGGTGGAATTTGTTCTGCAAATTTTGGGCCCAAAACTTTTCACCAAAACGTATTATTTTCAAATCTTTCTGTTCAATATAAAATTAAAGTAAAATTAATAAATCAGTCATTGGCATAATGATATCAAAGTTAGCCTCTAACCTAGTCTAACAAACAAAAGTTTATCATCTTAGTAAAAGTAAAAAGTAATTTATTTTTGTTTGATAGGCCAAGATGATCGTTTTTAATATATAAAACATCAATTTTTCCATTTAAAAGCATTTTTAAAACCTTTTGAACAATGCTTTTAAGATTATATCTCATTATGAAAGTTTGTTAGGCTACGTAAAAGACTAACTTTGATATATTTATGTCAATGATTAGCTCGGTAGTTTGGACTTATTTTTTAATTGACTAAAAAAATGATCATTTTTAGGGAAAACATTTTGTCCCAAAATTTGCAAAACAAATTGCACCATGTAAATTCTGCCACAATTTTAAACAAGTTAAAATGTTTTAATCACTTTTTACCTAAATTCAAGCCAATTTGCGAAAAACGCGTTTTGTTTTTCAAAATTAATGCGTTTTGTCCGGACAATTTAAATTAGCACTGTGGTTGTGATCACTGTGGTTGTGACCGGACATTTTAAAACAGCACTGTGGTTCTGAATCATCTTTTTATTGAAATTCATTCTATTGCTCATCGAAATAAGAGGTTTGCCTTGCACACTTCCCTATCCATAAACTCTTCGATTTTTTTGGTGCAAAAACAAAATTTGGCTGAAAGTTAGTTTGTGCGAATTAAGCCCAGATAAAAGTTATTAAAGGCAGCAAACTTTGAGAGTTGGCAATTACGACTGTCAGATATACTAAGACACTATCAGAACAATTGGATAAACTTTTCACTAAATGAACTAGCTAGTGCCTTTGAGTTATAGTTTTTGTTTCCTTTTAACTTAATTAGAGTTTCCATTGCTTCTTTAAACTGCTCTTCATAGAAAAACTGTGACACAACTTGTCGTCTATCACAAAATGTCACTTGTTACGCTGTTGTCGCTAGTTCTATTGTGTAGCTGTTTCTATTAAAAGTAAAAAAAATATCCTTTTCACGTATAATAGAAGCACCGAAACGACACAATAGAATTAGCGACAACCGCGTAACAAGTAACATTTTGTGATAGGCGACAATTGCGTCACAGTTTTTTTTTTGAAGAAAAATTTAAAGAAACGAAGTAAAAATAAAAAGTAATTTATTTTTGTTTGATAGGCCAAGATGATCGTTTTTAATATATAAAACATCAGTTTTTCCATTTAAAAGCATTTTTAAAACCTTTTGAACAATGCTTTTAAGATTATATCTCATTATGAAAGTTTGTTAGGCTACGTAAAAGACTAACTTTGATATATTTATGTCAATGATTAGCTCGGTAGTTTGGACTTAATTTTTAATTGACTAAAAAAATGATCATTTTTAGGGAAAACATTTTGTCCCAAAATTTGCAAAACAAAATGCACCATGTAAATTCTGCCGCAATTTTAAACAAGTTAAAATGTTTTAATCACTTTTTACCTAAATTCAAGCCAATTTGCGAAAAACGCATTTTGTTTTTCAAAATTAATGCGTTTTGTCCGGACAATTTATATTAGCACTGTGGTTGTGATCACTGTCGTTGTGACCGGACATTTTAAAACAGCACTGTGGTTCTGAATCATCTTTTTATTGAAATTCATTCTATTGCTCATCGAAATAAGAGGTTTGCCTTGCACACTTTCCTATCCATAAACTCTTCGATTTTTTTGGTGCAAAAACAAAATTTGGCTGAAGGTTAGTTTGTGCGAATAAAGCCCAGAGAAAAGTTATTAAAGGCAGCAAACTTTGAGAGTTGGCAATTACGACTGTCAGATATACTAAGACACTATCAGAACAATTGGATAAACTTTTCACTAAAAGAACTAGCTAGTGCCTTTGAGTTATAGTTTTTGTTTCCTTTTAACTTAATTAGAGTTTCCATTGCTTCTTTAAATTGCTCTTCATAGAAAAACTGTGACACAACTTGTCGCCTATCACAAAATGTCACTTGTTACGCTGTTGTCGCTAGTTCTATTGTGTAGCTGTTTCTATTAAAAGTAAAAAAAATATTCTTTTCACGTATAATAGAAGCACCGAAACGACACAATAGAATTAGCGACAACCGCGTAACAAGTGACATTTTGTGATAGGCGACAATTGCGTCACAGTTTTTTTTTGAAGAAAAATTTAATGAAACGAAGTAAAAATAAAAATTAATTTATTTTTGTTTGATAGGCCAAGATGATCGTTTTTAATATATAAAACATGAATTTTTCCATTTAAAAGCATTTTTAAAACCTTTTGAACAATGCTTTTAAGATTATATCTCATTATGAAAGTTTGTTAGGCTACGTAAAAGACTAACTTTGATATATTTATGTCAATGATTAGCTCGGTAGTTTGGACTTAATTTTTAATTGACTAAAAAAATGATCATTTTTATGGAAAACATTTTGTCCCAAAATTTGCAAAACAAATTGCACCATGTAAATTCTGCCACAATTTTAAACAAGTTAAAATGTTTTAATTACTTTTTACCTAAATTCAAGCCAATTTGCGAAAAACGCGTTTTGTTTTTCAAAATTAATGCGTTTTGTCCGGACAATTTAAATTAGCACTGTGGTTGTGATCACTGTGGTTGTGACCGGACATTTTAAAACAGCACTGTGGTTCTGAATCATCTTTTTATTGAAATTCATTCTTTTGCTCATCGAAATAAGAGGTTTGCCTTGCACACTTCCCTATCCATAAACTCTTCGATTTTTTTGGTGCAAAAACAAAATTTGGCTGAAGGTTAGTTTGTGCGAATAAAGCCCAGAGAAAAGTTATTAAAGGCAGCAAACTTTGAGAGTTGGCAATTACGACTGTCAGATATACTAAGACACTATCAGAACAATTGGATAAACTTTTCACTAAATGAACTAGCTAGTGCCTTTGAGTTATAGTTTTTGTTTCCTTTTAACTTAATTAGAGTTTCCATTGCTTCTTTAAATTGCTCTTCATAGAAAAACTGTGACACAACTTGTCGCCTATCACAAAATGTCACTCGTTACGCTGTTGTCGCTAGTTCTATTGTGTAGCTGTTTCTATTAAAAGTAAAAAAAATATTCTTTTCACGTATAATAGAAGCACCGAAACGACACAATAGAATTAGCGACAAGCGTGTAACAAGTGACATTTTGTGATAGGCGACAATTGCGTCACAGTTTTTTTTTGAAGAAAAATTTAAAGAAACAAAGTTTTAAAAGTTGAAATGTTTCTTACCTTCTCATAATTAAATCACATACTGAACTTCTCTTAATCACAACACTTTGTGCCCTTGTCTCAATTATAACAAGTGGTGAACTGTTTTTAATCGTATGGTTTTTCTGATAACTTTTTAAAAATTTTTTGATTTAACTCCTCTCGACCATTGATTAAGATGATTTAACCCTTTAAAAACACATGAACAAGACCATGTTATTAGCTTTTTTGATAGATTTCTGCTTTGGATGCAAATTTGGAACAAATCAGTGGAAATGGCTGATCTTGGGGCTCTTATCTA